CTTATTTAAAGAAAATAAAACAATCAATATAAGGGGTGTCAGATCTTTTATCCTACTGGGGGCATCCAAAGGGGAATTTAAATTTTTCAAAACATAAAGCAATATCTGTTTCTCAGTCAGAGCTTCAGGATTTGTCACAATAGCAGTGTGATAGGCCATGTCAGATACTGAGGTGCAGCCGGCTCCCAACAGTACCAGATAAAATTATAGATGGGAATGAAGCTTGTGTATCATCCATTATCATGTGTAATCAATAAACAATTTAATATCCTCTTGAAAAAAAAATATATATAACAGAAAAGCTTGGTATGGGATAATCCAGGATGACTACAACATGGTATTCTGGCAAATGGAGAAAAACTATTACTGGGTGTGCTTAAAAAGTTTCACATGTTTAAGTGAGAAAATTAATAGTACATATGTATAATTGGAACCAAAGTTTTTTGGGCTCTTTTGTTAAGATTTTTAAAATCCTGTTTTAAAAAACTAGCATTAACTTAAGATAAAAAATCTTAGAACTTAAGGGCACTTATCCAATTGTGATTTTTTTTTAGATGAGGTGCAGAGAAGTTGAAGCTTACCTGGTGCCACAGAGCAGAGCTGGAAGTAATGGTTGTTGTATTCCCTGACTTCCAGCTTAGAGTTATTTCTACTTCAAACTATTGCTTCTTGGTAAGCTGTTCTTAACAATTCTTAACAGGTCTTTTATTATATCTTTTATTTATGTGTTTGAGCAACATTCCTACATTGTGTCAAAATGAACTTAAAAATATTAAATTTACTGATACTTTTGTGATGAAAATTTCAATTCTTTGTTTGATTTTAGGTGAGTTAATGTGGGAAAAATCCTGGTATTTTGAAGATGTCTCGGCACAGTATTGTTTCCTGTTTAAATTACAAGTAATTTCAAGAGTTTTCAGAAAAAAAAGAAATTGGGATTTTTTTGTTGTTAAATCATGCCATCCGAACAGAAACAGTTTTTTGATAAAAAACAAGCTACTTTAAAAAGAGATTGTGATGTGAAAAATGAGATTGTTGATACTGTCACATCAGTACATAAACCAAAAATTTCAGAAAGTAGTTTTCATTATAAACTGAAAAATTTGAAAATTGATTTGCCGAAGATAAATATTCCAGATGAAGTCCTATTGAAGCATGAAGTTGACAAATACAGAAAATTATTTCAGTGTAAACCACAGACTGCAAGAAAATCTGTCAGTATAAAGACTGTAAGCTGTGCAGAGGAATGTATGTTGCTCCACAAGTCTGAGAAAGTTGAAGAAGAGGGTATAAAAATGGCTGCAAAAATACTCAATTTCAACTGTTTAAAATGCCGAGATAGCACTCTATATAGCCCAAATGATTTGCAGAAACATTTTCAAATGTGGCACCACGGTGAACTACCTTCATATCCTTGTGAAATGTGCAGTTTTTCAGCGAATGACTTCCAGGTATTTAAACAACACCGACGAACCCATAGAAGCACTTTAGTAAAATGTGACATTTGTAACAATGAGAGTGTATATACTTTATTAGACTTGACAAAACATTTTGTTTCCACACATTGTGTAAATGGTAGTTTTCAATGTGAAAAGTGCAAATTCTCCACCCTGGATGTTGGCACATTTGTTCAGCACATTCATAGACACGATGAAATCCATTATAAATGTGGTAAATGCCATCATATATGCTTTACCAAAGGAGAGCTTCAGAAGCACCTTCATGTCCATTCTGGTACACTTCCCTTCACTTGTCAATATTGTAGCTACGGTGCCACAAGGAGAGAGCACCTTGTAAGACATGTTATAACTTTACACAAAGAACACTTATATGCGAAAGAAAAACTGGAAAAGGACAAATATGAAAAAAGGATGGCAAAGACTTCAGTAGGACTTAAGCTAATACTGAAAAGATACAAAATAGGCGCATCCAGGAAGACATTCTGGAAACGTAAGAAAATCAACAATGGAAGCGACCGAAGTATAGAAAAAACCACGGAAGTGCTTAAAAAGGTGAACAAAACACGGGCCAAGTCTGAAGACCGGAGCCATCTTACTCAAGAACATTTAAATGAAGAAAAGGATGAACGACTACGCCGTGGGAATAATGATAAACCTGCTGTGTCAGAATCAGAAAAGCCAGCTCTTCTGCCCACTGGGCTGTGGAATAAAGCTGAAGAGGGACCCAATCCTACTTCAGGTCTCTTGAAGACTGCTGTACAAGGACCTACAGTGTTAATGGTGAAAAATAATAAAATAACAATCCCAGCTAACTATAGTGCGAAGTTTATGGGCTTCAAGATGGTAGATGGGAAACAACATATTGTAATAAAATTGTTGCCTACCAATAAACAGAATGTATATTCACCAGGCTCACAGTCAGATGCTGCAAAGGACAGTACTGCTAATTCGCAGCCCCAGACTTTGGACACCACTGGATTTTTAACCAGAGTAACAACTATGTTAAGTGACACAGTTTACATGAAAGCAGCTACTCCATTTTCATGTTCATCTCCTATACTTGCAGGGAAAGTAACTTCAGAAAAAGAAATGGCTTTGCTCTCTCAAACAAGTAATATGCTTCAAACAGTAGGTGATGAAAAAAGTGTATCTTCTTTGCCAACATCATCAGAATTAGTTACAACATCAGTGAATTTGACCACAAAAATTGAAACAAGAGATAATGTTGACTTATGGGGAAGTCATATTACTCAGAGTCACCCTGAAGTGTCAGGTACTGCCATTAAAAGTCCAGATAAAGTCAACTGTGCTACCAAACCAAATGCATACAACAGTGAAGAGATGCATAACTATTGCGTTAATTATGTCAACTCTGAGTCACCTGTTGAATCTTCCAACCAAGGATCATTACCTTTTCATAATTACTCAAAAGTGAATAATTCTAATAAACGTCGTAGGTTCTCAGGAGCAGCAACGTGTGAAAGCCCTCAAAGAGACTCTTCATCGAGCAAGACGGTCATTCAACAGCCAATAAGCGAATCCGTTTTATCACTAGTGAGGAAGGAGAGCTCAAACCCAGAGAGCCTCTTAGCATCTGTTAGCCTTTTAAATACTAAAGATGAAACTTCAAGAACTCAAGCTGAAATTGAAGACCCGTGTATTTTAGAAAAAGGACCAAACATTGATGGACAGACTCTATTCACGAATGAAAATCAACATTTAGAGGGCATGACTGAAAAATCAAAATGGGGTGACGTTTCCAGTGCTGGGTCACCTTTGATGCCTAGGATCACATCTGTATTCTCTCTCCAGAGCGAACAGGCTTCAGAATTTTTGCCACCGGAAGTAAACCAGTTACTTCAGGATATATTAAAAATAAAACCTGATGTAAAGCCAGACTCCAGTCATACTCAAGATAAAGACCTGCCACTTCATTGTGACCAGTCGTTTCAGAAACATGAGGGAGAAGGCAGAATTGTTGAATCTTCCAAAGACTTAAAGATACAAGACATCATCTCACTTCCACCTGGTAGTGTGGGGATGCATGTGCCTACAGATGATCTGAATTTAAAATGTAGTGGCAAAGAAGCACAAATGCCGTCAGGGTCCCAAGACGTGCGCGATTCAGAGAAGACACCTAGAATTCCAGGTATTGGCACACTACTTAAGACTCAGTCAGATGCAATAATAACACAGCAGCTCGTAAAAGACAAACTCCGAGCCACTACACAAAATGTAGGTTCTTTGCACATGCAGAGTCCACTTGTAAATTTAGAACCAAAAAAGACCCTCTTTGTTCAGACTCCAAAAGGCTTTTTTGTGCCATTGCACATTGCTAACAGGCCTGGACTACATGTCGTTTCAGGAAAACCAGTGGTTAATACTCAATGCGTCCCTGCTTGCCTTCTTTTAAACAAGAAACCTGGGATGATTTTAACATTTAACAATGGGAAATTTGAAGGTGTTAACACTGTCAAAACTGAGAGTGCTCCAGCTTGTGGAACTACAACTAAAGAGACGTGCAGAACGCCTGTTTTAAAGGTGGAACCAAGCAATAATTGTCTGACACCTGCACTTTGTTCCAGCATTGGCAGTTGTTTGAGCACGAAAAGTAACTCAGAAAATACTTCGCCATTAAAAAACCCTTACATTATTAAAGCATCAGCAAGTTCTTCCATGAAAGCTGTTCCTACTCCTAATACACTATCTGAGCATCAGGGCACTAAGTCGAATATCTTGGATTCAGCAAAACAGCAAAACGAGATTTTTCCAAAACCACCTCTTTATACTCTCTTGCCTGATGGCAAACAAGCTGTTTTTTTAAAGTGTGTGATGCCAAATAAAACCGAGCTGCTTAAGCCTAAATTAGTCCAAAATAGTACTTATTATCAAAATATACAGCCAAAGAAACCTGAAGGAACACCACAAAAAATATTGCTGAAAATTTTAAATCCTGTTTTAAATGTGACTGCTGCTAATCTGTCAGTAAGCAACTTTGCATCCTCATTGCAGAAAGACAGTGTACCATCTAATCAGATTGCAGGAGCAGAGCAGAAAGAGCCAGACTCGTCTAGAGATGCCTTACCCTTCTTACTCGATGATATAATGCCAGCAAATGAAATTGTGATAACTTCTACTGCAACATGCCCAGAAGCTTCTGAGGAACCGATATGTATCACTGACCATTCAGAGGCCAGAGTGTTGAGGTGTAAGACAAATTGTACAATTGAGAGAAGCTTTAATAAAAAAAAGACTTCCAAAAAAAATTTTACAAGACTAAAAACTCGTGTAAGAAGTAAAGATTCTGAAACTGCCTTTGTATCTAGAAACAGAAGCTGTAAACGAAAGTGTAGGGATGGTTACCAAGAACCTCCAAGAAAGAAAGCAACATTACATAGAAAGTGTAAAGAAAAGGCTAAACCTGAAGATATCCACGAATCATTTGGATTTAGCAGACCTAGGCTTTCAAAAGATTCAATTCGAACTTTGCGACTTTTCCCCTTTAGTTCCAAACAGCTTGTGAAATGTCCCCGGAGAAACCAACCAGTTGTGGTGTTGAACCACCCTGATGCAGATGCACCAGAAGTAGTAAATGTAATGAAAACTATTTCTAAATTTAATGGACGTGTACTTAAGGTTTCATTGTCGAAAAGAACTATCGATGCTTTACTGAAACCTGTTTTTTGTAACCCTCTTAAAACAACTTATGGTGACTTTTCCAAGAGGCACAAAACATTTAAACCTGTTAGTTCTGTAAAAGAAAGATTTGTGCTAAAATTAACACTCAAAAAGACAAGCAAAAACAATTACCAGATTGTGAAAACTACCTCTGAAAATGTTCTGAAGGCTAAATTTAACTGTTGGTTTTGTGGTAGAGTATTTGACAATCAGGATGCTTGGGCTGGTCATGGGCAGAGACATTTAATGGAAGCTACTCGTGATTGGAATACATTAGAATAATTTACTGTAACTATCAGGGCAAAGAAAAGGAAAACATTAAAAGAAAACAGCAGATTGAATTACCTTAATGCCGACATTTTCTACTTCAATATAGTACCTGAAATTAAACATTTAAAAGTTGGTTATATTTCCATAGGAGAGAAAAAGTTTATGTGTGATATTTGAAAACGCTATCACTACACACATAACTTTTGAAAGAAATTCATCACAGCACAGATTTGATTTTTTAAAAACGTGTTCTTGGGAAGTTAGGGCTAAAGAAAATTTTGATAAAAGAGTTTTCCAATTTAGTTCTTTAGTGACTTAGTAGAGGGTAACGGCCGACAGCCCCACTCCTTCTCTTCTTTCACCAGCCTTATATGTACCTGGTAAGTATAGCTTCTCTGAAGATGGAGAGCTCTTTCACCATGGAACTGAGGAGTTTCTCATCATTTGTGAAGATATGCTAAGAGAGCATAGGTGAAGGACTTACTCTACATCTGCTTAATACAGTTCTTTTGAAGGGTATAAATTCCTTTGAGAATACGCTTAACTCACTACAATTACAGTTACACCTCATGATGCTTGAAAAGAGTTTTTGACAAGTACATTTTTTTTTTCCTCATAAGCTGTGTCCCGTGTCAAGAGATGGGACACCCTCCCAAGGTGATTTTCTTTTTCTATATGGCTATGTCAAGCATTGCAGTAGACGGTTAGCCTTGAAAGAAGAATTAAACTCTCTTGGTCTAGAATGAAGTCCAATTAAAGAACCTCAACATTTCTGAATTTGATTATATTCTCCGGTGATCCCCTTACATAGAACTATGCTTATTTGATTTAAATTGTTTGTCCCCCATAAATCAAATGGCCAATTTTTCTTGGTTGCCATCCCGCTAAAAAGAGTGGAATATAGAAGCACTTCCAAGAGAATGGCTTTTCTCGAAAACTAGAAATTATTCCACAGAAACAATATTTTGAAGCAAGATTAGCAAAGGAAATCATTTTCACCTGTTTTAATTATTATACTGTCTGAATGTGTCCACATTGGGACAAACCATTTTTGTTAGCAACTTGTCAGTATGACAGACAATCCAAAACAGATTATTTACTGATTGTTGGCAGTTGAAAATAAAGAAGCATTAACAGTGGACTCAGTGGCAGTGCATAAAACTTCAGGACAGATTCCTAAGGGACATGCCCGACAGAGGAATAGTTTTAAAATGAATATTTTCACAACAATGACAGAATCAGTAATATAAACTTTTCACTTTTAAATTTGGATCAAATTTTGTTGGATCATTGGATAATAACAGTTCTTGTATTGCAAAATTACATACTATATAATTTTTTGTTACATTGTTACTACAAGTGTTAATGACATTTTCATTGAAAACTTCAGGGCTTCTTTTCTGTATATAAAAAAGAATTTAAACCTGTACATATTTTTGTACCTTTCAGTTTGTTATGTAAATTTTGCACAGAAAGTTTTTGACATAAAAAGTTTATTTTTTTTCAATTTAGTTCTGTGCATGCACTAATAAAACTTTGTTTAATTTGAAAGGAATATATAAGACTTTACCCATGTTATTTTCTTGATTTTTATTTCAGAAGTAGAATTTTTTTGGGGGGTAAATTCATTTTTCAGGGATTGAACACTATTGTTAGCAAAGTGCCTAAAAGATGTGAAACAGTTTACATATGTCAACTGTAACAGTAGGTCCCAACTGGGCCCATTTCCCCAATAGTTTTATTTTAAAGAAAGCCATACGTAGATGCTTCAAGCTATCTTGCTATGCACATTATACATGTACTGTGCAGTTTTGTGCAGTTTGTCTACTTTCTTAGTGAAGTATTTTTTTGTATAAAACATGTTACAATTGTGTTTCTTAAATTGAGCCTAAGAATGGAGTTGATTGGAAATATACAGTATATATTAATAATGTATATGGTGTTTAAAGACTGGTAAGCATTCTTAATTTCTGTAATGAATGTTTTCAATTAAATTTATCTTAAGTTTTGTGTTTACACAATATCTTTTTTACTGTGCTAAAATCGAATGGGAGTTTTATTCTAATGGGAATTACTTAGTTTCAAATGTTTTTTTTGTTTTTGTTTTTTAATACTAGTAAACTATGCAAAATAAAGTGGAAATCCCCCCCCCAAAAAAAAAAATCACAGGTGAAATTTTGTTTGAGAAGGGTATGGTTGTGTTGGTAAGGAAACACATAGAGAGAGGCTTATGCTCTTCAATAGTCGAACAGCAATAACATTGAAATACTCTGTTATGGATAGATCTGTTATGATGCATCGCCTTATGTGAATAGAGAAGAGAGAAAGAACTATCTTGCCAATCAACACTATAAAAATACATATCAGAATAGGCATTCCAGTACAAAATGTCGAGACACATACTTTTTGCCTTAAAGTTTTAAAAGCCATTTAAAAATAACTGCATGCCCCAGAAAACTCTAATTAGTACTTCTTCTGACTTTGTTAACTTAGCTTATTCTGAAGGAGGCAAACCTGCTTCGAGCTGTCTTATTGCCAGACCAGAAAATCTAAAAAACAAAACCCTTTATCCTTTATTTTCTTTCGGCTGAAACTGAACTAAAGATGGCTTTCCAAAATACGATCCTCAGTGGTTTGAGGTACTTTTTACAACTGGAAGAGTTAGTTTTATTTTTGCAGTCCAGCTTCTGGGTTAGGAATTTGTTTCATTTTCCTCCATTTGTCTATCTCCATTGAAATAGGCTTCACTATTTGGCATTCACTTAAAAATTAGTTTTTTAAAAGAGTTTATTATTTTATAAACAGTAGCACAGATTGAAACAATGGTTTTTTATGAAAAATTTTGGTTTTGTTAAAGGGTCAGTGAAGTTCAGTAAAGGGTCAGATAGTAAGTAACTTAGTCTTTGTAGGCCATTTAAGTGTGTCATAACTACTTAAATCTGTCATAATGCAGAAACAGCCATAGAAAATACATTAATGAATGAGTGTGTTTTTACAAAAAAATTCATTTTTAAAAATAGGCAGTGGGCCAAATTTAGCCCACTAGTTTACCAACCTTTCCTGTCTCAAAATTCTCTTAAAGTGGGATTTTTATTAAAAACAAGTTTGATTTTTGTGATGTACACCAGTTGTGTAAAAGTCACAAAGTTTAAAAACTAAAATATATTTGTATAAAGTTACCAACTTAGATGTGTCTTTTTTGAAAGCGTAGATGCAATGAAAATGATGACTGGGTGAATAGATAGGTCACTTGTGTGCTAAGGGTAATGCAACTTATGGAGGGATTAAAAATGAAATCAAACAGATTACTGTCAGAATTTATGTTCAGGTTAGATAAGAAATAGAAACGAGTTCTTTTAGTGATTTGAATAGCTCATGAAAATGTAATAGGAATTTTTGGGATAGGGGAGAATGGAATTAAGCTGAAAGCAGAATATTGTATTAATTCCATACAGCTAATTCCTGAATTTTTAAATTTTTTATTTATTTTTTATTATAGATAAGTGATTCCTTTTCACCACTGATATCTGCTTACTAAGGATATGTCCCATTTGTGCTGGGGTATTGGCTCTGTTCCTTGCCATAGCAATTTGTTAGGATCCTTGTTTTCAGCAAAGCTCTTGACTTAATTGATGATCTCATCTAGTGAAACTTGCTGGAGGGATTTTCAGGGCATTGTTTGTTGCTAGTTAAGAGCCTGGTGTTCACTAGCAGAAAGCTTTTCCTATAATGGAGAGTTGAGATATTGTAGAATCAGCTTGGTTGATTTTAGTGTTAATTGATTCAAGTATGCTTCTGTTAATAACTGGACAATTGAGAAGTACTATCTTGGGAAAGGTGTTTAACAAAGTCTTATTTGAATAATTGTTTGACTAGTTCTCTATCTAATAGGGCTTCTATTAATAAATACCCCAAATTTAAGAATCTTTTTTCTTTAAAAAAATGAATGTCATGACTGTAAACTTTGGAGTAAATAGTGTCGGAAGAATGTTAACATAATGTCCCATCAATTTTAAAAATCGTGGTTTTAGTCAATCTCAAGATGTACTTACAAAAAAATACTCATTCCTGGTAAAGACAGTTATAATACGTTAAAAAGAATTCTTCCTTAATACTTTAGAGCCCTTCAAAACTGAGGTTATGTTTAGGTTGAAACTCAAATTGCTTCTTTCAATTAAGGAGTGAAACAAGATACCTGCTATCATCTGTTATTTCATGCTAATATAAAAGGATAGGAAAGCAAAATGAAAAACTTGGAGAGACCAAAATACTATTTGCAGATGACTTGATTTCAATATTTTGAAAATCCAAAGGAGTACATTGAAAAGGAGCTTTCCTGAACACTTGACAATAATCATTTGGGAAACAATAAAAAGACCCATTTATAAGAGTCACAAAATAATAAAAGTGAAGCTGCCAGAAGAAAAACCACAAAACCTACCTAACTGGGAGATATACAGTGTTTATCAGGGTGTAAGATGAAATATATCCGTTTGGTAGATCTCATTTTTCACACCTGTGTCCCGTAGAAAGCTTATATGGAGTGGGTGGTGGCAGCTGGCTAGTGGTGGCTATTGCTGTACTCCCAACTCCTGCAATATAGAGAGAATCAAGGCAGGGCAGCCACTGAATGGTACAGTCCCCCTTTCCCACACAGCTCTGTTGCAAGAGACCTGCCCTGGTGGGCTTGGCAGCCGAGTGGCAGCTTACATCTCTCCCAGCTTTCCTGGGCACAAGTGCTATTCCATGTATATTGAGCAGCTGGTGAAATTGGCAGATTGCATCCTTCCTGGTTCTGAGCTATAGATCCATACTGGGAGGTGGCAGCAGATTTTCCCTGGTGCCCTCCCCCAACCTCCAACACAGCTGTGCTGCAGGGAGGATCTGGGGTCACATTCAGTGAAGAGCCAGTTTCCCAACACTCCATACCCCCCCCTTCCCCCCCATCCCTGCAACCTGCTCCACAGCTCAAAGGCATAGAGATACTGCAGGGGATGGTTGGAGTGAGCTTCAAAGACTTGACAATACTCTGGTTATTACAAGGGGCCTAACTATCTGGAACAGACTGGAGCAATTTATACCCCAGAGTATTTTGAATACAATAGAGCAATTAGCTAGCAAATACAGTTGGTGGTGATACCAATAGATACTGGCCAGAAGCTTAAAGACAAGATCAGGGAGAGAGACAGAGTGGATAAACCACAGATATCCCTTGAGATCAGAAAGAATGTGTGCATACTCAGTGCTGCAACCACATAGGAGCAACCAGAGAGGGAACGTCTGAGCTCCAAGTCCCTGGCTGAATGTAGGGCAACTTGCAAACCCTAGACAGTGAAAGCAGTTTCTAAGCCATACACAGATCCATCGGTAAAGAGTTTGTAAGTCAGATTCAGGGGGCTTAATCTATGATTAATCAGTCCCTGACCACTAAATGGTGCTAACTCAGAAGCAACCCTAGGAAGTCAGGCTTAAACATAAGGGGTGGAGGGGGTGGGGTGGGGAGGTTGAACAGTGACATCAGAGGCTGCACACTGTGAGCGGAAATAGACTTGGTGGATTAATCCAACCAAATCACTAAATAAAAACAAGCCCAGAGTTAGGGAGGAGGACCAGTATGCAGAGATCCTACAATATGTTACCTAAAATGTCCAGTTTTCAACACAAAATTATGAGGTATTCAAACAAACAAAAAAAACCAGGTAGGTGTGACACGGGAAAAAGGTACTAGAAACTTCCTTTAAGGGGTTCCAGATGTAGGATACTCGTAAATGTTAAGCAGCTATTATATCTGCTGAAAGACTTAAACCAGATTTAAAGAAAGGAAAATATGCTGACTGTGTATTATCAAATAGAAATTATTTTTAAAAAGAACCAAATGAAAAATTTGAGGTTGAAAAGTACAATAACCAAAGTGGAAATTTTACTAGAGAGAGGCTCAACAGTAGATTTGAACTGGTAGAGTAATCAGCAAACCTGAAGATAGATTGGTAGAGAATATGAAATCTGAAGCACAGACAGAAAAAAGAATAAAGAAAAGCAATCTTCCTCACTAAATACACAAAAATGAACTCAAAATGAATCACAAACCAAAATGTTCGCACAAACTATAAAGTTTACAGGAGAAAATATACAAGTAAATAGCTGTGACCTTTCTTTAGGCAAAGCCTTCTTGGATATGATAAAATCAGAAATAAAAATTTAAAAATAGACAAAAGGATATATAGAATTTTTATTAGAAGAGATCGTAGAGCTGATCTATTTCATCTAGTTTGGATTAATATCAATTTCAACAATAAAATTTTTGCCTTATATAGCTTCATTCTCCCCCCTCACACACACACTTTATTGTCACAAATTTATATCTATAAATTGTGTGCCCATCAGCACAGATTTATAATGATTGCTTTATGTATTTGTCTTTTAGGAGGGGGGAAGTTACAAATAAAAAATACATTTCCTATGTCTTTTATATTTACCTATGCTGGTGTTTATATTTACCTTTATTCTGTATTTCTTTGTGTTGGTTTAAGTTACTATCTAGTGTCCTTTCATCCTGAAGCACTCCCTGTAGCGTGTGTGTGTGTGTGTGTGTGTGTGTGTGTGTGTGTGTAGGACAGGTCGGCTGGGAATTATCTTGGAATGTCTTAATTTTTCCTTTGTTTTTGAAGGATAGTTTTTCTGAACATAGACTTCTTGGTTGGCTTTTTTTTTTTTTCATTCAGCACTTTGACTATATCATCTCACTGCCTTCTGGCCTCCGTGGTTTCTGATGAGAAATCAGCTGTTAATCTTACTGAGGTCCTCTGGTATGTGATGAGTCACTTCTCTCTGGCTGCATTCAGGATTCTCTCTGTCTTTCAACAATTTAATTATAATATGTCTGGTGTGTTTATCTTTGGTTTTATCTTATGTGGAGTTCCTAGAGCTTTGTGGGTTGGTAGATTAATGTCATGAAATTTGGGAAGTTTTTGGTTAATTTTTCAGATATTCTTTTTGATGCTTTCATTTTCTTCTCTCCTTCAAAGACTCACATTATGTATATGCTGTTATGCTTGATGGTGTCCCACACGTCTCTGAGGCTGTCTTCATTTCTCTTCATTTTTTTTCCTTTCTGTTCCTCAAACTGGACAATGTCAATTGACCTATCTTTAAGTTCATGGTTTTTCTTCTGCCTGATCGAATATGTTGCCAAGCCCCTCTAGTGAAGTTTTCATTTCAGTTATTGTAGTTTTTAACTCTATAATAGAAAGTTCTAGAATTAAAAGTTCTTTTCATAACTTATATCCTGTAATTGGTTGAGACATCATTCTCTTTCCTAGTATTCTTTAAACTTGGTTTCCTTTAGCTCTTTGGCCACATTTAAAATAGCTAAATTAAAGTCTTTGTTTAGAAAATTCAATGCTGGGGCTTTCTCAGGATTTCTCTTGATTACTTTCCCCACCCCCACCCCCCTACCCCCCCCGTATATGGGCAATACTTTCCTTTTTCTTTTAATGCCTTGTAATTTTTTTGTTGAAAAGAGGACATTAAAAATATTATAATGTGGGGGCCAGCCGAGTGGCTCAGTTGGTTAAGAGCTCAAGCTCTGAGCAACAGGGTCGCCGGTTTGATTCCCACATGGGCCAGTGAGCTGCGCCCAGTTGAGCTGCCAGCAGGTGGTAGGATGGCTCAGCTGATGAGAGCACATGCTCCTAACAACAAAGTTGCCAGTTAGACTCCCGCATGGGATGGTGGGCTACACCCACCTGCAACTAAGATTGAACACAGCACCTTGAGCAGCATGATGGTGACTGGACTTGGAGCTGAGCTAGCTGCACCCTCCACAACTAAGATTGAAGGACAACAACTTGGCTGTTCCCCTTCCCCAATTCCCCAAAACTGTTCCCCTTCCCCAATTCCCCCAATTAAAAAAAAATCTTTAAAAAATACTATAATGTGGAAACTCTGAAAATCAGAATCTCTACCTCTCCCCTTACTCTGCCCTGGAGTTTGTTGTTGCTGCTTGTAGTTGTTTGTTTATTAGTAACCTTTCTGAGTTATTTTTTTAAAGTCTGTATACTTTGTCATGTGTGACCACAAAAGTCTGTTACTTTAGCTTAATATTTAATAACTGGACAGAGATTTCTTAAACACCATAAATGAAAAAAACCTCCCAGTGTTTGCCAAGGGACTCTGTGTGTGTTTTTGTGGTGCACATTCAACACTCAGCCAGGCAGTTTACAACTCTGCCTTAGCCTTCACTTCCTGCTTTGGCAGAGCCTCCAGGTCAGAGGAGATGAGGGCTTATGGCCTCCTCGAGTGTTTCCTTAGCACACATGCAGTGCTGGCATGCATGTGGCCTTCTAGATTCCCTAGAATATGTAGGAGCTTTCCTCCTGAGCTTTTTGGTTAGTCTGTTGCTTGCCTCAAATGTTATCTATTATCTTAGGGAGCAGTGACTAAAACATTTGCCTATTAATGTTTTCAACATTGCCCCTAGGTAGCAGCTTTAGTTCTGGGCCACCTTCAAGTCAGGCAAAAGCCAGTCTACTTAGAAAGTTACCAGACTGGTCAAAACAAATAATTATAATTCTTTGTGAGTGAGGTGTGTTCTGTTACCAGGAATGGGGACTTTTATTTTCAGTGGCATGGCTAACATCAAACTTAAAGGTGAAAGACTGAAAACTTTTTTTTTTAAGATCAGGAACAAGAAAGGATGTTCACTTTCATTGCTTTTATTAAATATTGTACTGGTGATTCTAGTCATGGCAATTAGGCAAATAAAAGAAACAAAAGGCATTCAGATGGGAAAGGAAGAATTTAAAATATCTCTAGTTTTAGATGTCATGATCTTTATATGTCATGTAGAAAATCCTAAGGAATCCACTAAAAACTCATAATTAATAAATGAAATCAGCAAAAGTGCAGAATACAAGATCAATAGAGAAATCAATTCTACTTCTATACTAAAATGAAATTAAGACAAAAAATTCATTTACAATGGATCTAAAGGAATAAAATACTTAGGAATAAATTTGACAAAAGAAATGCAAGACTTTTATACAGAAACTATAAATCATTGTTGAAAGAAATTAAAACCTAAATAAATGTAGAGACATCTCATATTCATGGATCAGAAGACTTAATTGTCAAGATGGCAATACTCCCCAAACTGATCCACAGAGTCAAAGCAAATCCTGTCAAAATTCTAGCTACCTTGTGTGTGTGTGTGTGTGTGTGTGTGTGTGTGTGTGTGTGTGTGTTTTGCAGAAATTGACAAGCTGATTCTAAAATTTGTATGGAAAGGCAAGGGGTCCATAATAAAACAATTTTGAAAAGAAGAATAAAGTTGGAAAATTCATACTTCCCCACTTCAAAACTTACCAAAAACTTACTATAATCAAAATAGTGTAGTACTGACATAGAATAGACATGTAGATCAATGGAATAGACTTGAGAATCCAGAAATAAACCCATGCATTTATGATCAATTGATTTTTGACCAGAAGGCCAAATTCAATGTGGAAACTATAGCCTTTTAACAAATGCTGATGGGACAGCAGGATATCCATGTGCAAAAGAATACATTTGGACACCTACCTCACACCATGCATAAAATTAACTCAGTGGATCCAAGACTTAAATGTTAGAGACAAAACTATACAAATATTAGAAAGAAACATAGGTGTAAATTTTTGTGACCTTGAATTAGAGAACTATTTTTTAAGACACCAAGAGCACAAGCAAAGAAACAGTGGATACATTGGGATTTATTAAAATGAAAAACTTTTGTGTTTTAAAGAGCTCAAGAAAGTGAAAAAGACAACTCGCAGATTTGGAGAAAATACCTTCAAATCATATACCTGATATGGGAATTGTACCCAGAGTATATAAAAATGATTAGAACTCAAAAAGAATTAAAAATGGTCAAAGGATTTGAATACACATTTCTCCGAAGAAGATACACAAATAGGAAATAACCACATGAAAAGATGCTTAATATCTTTAGCCATTAGGGAAATGCAAATGAAAACCACAGTGAGATACTACTTCATATCCTTTAGGATGGGTATAATCAAAAAGATAATCACAAGTGCTGGTAAGTATGTAGAGAAACTGGAACTCTTATACATTGTAGGTCAGACTGTAAAATGGTGCAATCACTTTGGGAAACAGTTGGGCATTCCTCAAACTGTTAAACATTTTTACCATTTGACAACAATTTCACTTGTAGATACATACCCCAAAGAAATGAAAAACATATCCACTCAAAAACTTGCACACAAGTGTTGATAGCAGTATTATCAATACTAGCCAAAAAGTGGAAACAAATGTCCATCAGTAGATGAATAGATAAACAAAATATGGTATATCTACATAATGTATTATTCAGCAATAAGAAGAAATGGAACACTGATTGATACATGGGTGAACCTTGAAAGTATGCTACGTGAAAGAAGCCAGTCACAAAGGGCCACATACTGTATTTCATTCTCATGGAAATGTCAAGAGTATGAAATTCTATAGAGACAAAATAGATTAGTGGATGACTGTGATGGCAGCTGGAGAGTGGAGAGTGTTTGGTTATGGGCGTGGAATTTCTTTCTGAGGTAAGAAAGTTATAAACAGATTGTGGTGATGATTGCACAATTCTGAATATAGTTGTAAGTGGTGAATTTTATAGTATGTGAATTAATAATGCCATTAAAAGGATCAACTAGTAAAAGGTTAACTATTCGATGGGGAAACTTAGGAATATAGGAATGGCAAATGCAGGAATCAGCTACTATTTCTAGGATTGAGAGAGAATAAACAAGGAAGAAAGTAAATGCTTAGATTAGGGCTCTCTAACCCCTCATCTGAGGTTCAGGCCCGACTGAAGAGGTTGTAGCTGCCACAGGTGCATTCAGCCTGCTGATAGTGAAGAATTTTGCCTGAGGGTGCAGACCTGAACTGGTCGTTAGGAGTAGTCAATTCAGTGGCTGTGAAACTCATAGGAGGTTGCCCAGCTGAAGCTGGTCTGCTGTAAACAGCCTGCTCTGCTAAGTGTTAAAAAAAATCTAGGAGCTGTGGGCAGTCTTGAGCTGGTCCACAGGAAGTTGCCCCACTGAGTGGCAGAGAAACTCACTGGAGGGCGTGGCCAAGTTGGAGCCTACTGGGTGGCTGAGAGAAACTCACTGGTGAGCACAGATGGGCTAGAGCCAGTTAGCAGAAACTGTCCTGGAGGGTGGCAGAAAAGCTCAGGGGAGGATGTTACACGCCAGAACGGGTCTGCAAAAAGGACCTGCTAGGTGGCTGAGAAACTCACTGGGTAGTGATTGTCACTGGGTTTCCCTAATCCACTGATGGGAAAAAACCACACTGGAACCAGGAGGGGATATATATATATACACACACACACACACACACAGCACCCTCATTGGCTGCCCGTATTCTGCATCAGTGGTTGCCATCTTTTGTTAACCCATCCACAACTGTGTGAATCAAGGC